GGGGGGAAGCAAAATTTTGTTCTCTTTTCTTTAATGGTAATCCTGATTTGTTAATACATTTGATCCCTGTATTCTTTCCCCAGTCAAAAAGAGTACACCATTAACAACGAACCTTCTTCCAAAGGCGAAGTGAAAGAAGAGGTGAGTAGTTTGTTGCTTCATAATATCAATCTGCCTTATCACAATCGATTGTCCGTTCCCGTCTCCTATTAGCGGGGGACTGGAGAGATTGAGAGAGAGAGAGAGAGAGAGAGAGAGAGAGAGAGAGAGAGAGAGAGAGATAAAGGAGAATCTTGTTTATTCCACTCTCCTTTTTCCCCTCTCCCAGAATGAATAGCCTTTAACTACTGAGAGTAAATAAAAAAATAGAAAAACAGTTTATATTGTATAACCCCATTTTACCATTAGCCACCCCCCAACCCCCCACCTTTTAAAAGAAAGATGTATTCTACTCCCATATTTCCCTACGGTTTTCCGTATTTAATGGAACAAGAATAGGTCTCCAGTGGCCGTGTACGTTCTGACGGCTGTGATCTGACGTTGTTTCAGTTGCACGATGGCAGGCACGGGAGATAGAGAATGTCCTGACAGGATTGCCAGATGGCTCTGAAAGTAAAAGGTCAAATCTGTTGCAAAAATGGGGCCAAATAAGGCCTAACCAATGAGAAAAAGCCAGAAAAAAGGTCAAACTTTTACCCAGCTTTTCCTGCATCTTCATCATCATCATTTTTAAGGGGGAAATGAATACATGTACATGTAGGCTACTGGTAGACCTAACCACGCCTTTTCCCAAAAGTAGTTGTAAGCATTTTCAAAATCTTATGGATAAGTACAAAAGGCTGTAATACTATTTCTAAGTACACTGTGGATCAAAGAATTGTATGCAGTCAAGGCTAGTTAGTAAATAGGCTTAAGTGTAGTTGGTGATTCTACTGAAGTCTGAGTGGACCAACTTATTGAAGAAAGAAGAAAGAAGAGTTATCTGTTCTTACCATTGTCTTTGTTGAGTTTCCGTTTATCTGTTTCATAAAAACCAGATAAAAAAGAATTATGAGGCCAGTCTGTGCTTTGTGCCGCCTAGACTTACTACTTACCTTAGAACTAAATGTGAGCTCCATTTCAAGAAGTTTATTAACTTGTATTGTGCAGTTTTCTCATAAATTTGGTCTATAATCATAGTAGATTTTTCCTTTAAAAAAAAAGGCCCCAAAAAGGTCAAAAAGCCAAACAAGGAATTTCAGGCCAAACCCATTGTAAAAAGGCCAAATTTTTAACTTTTTGGCCCTAAAAAGGCCAAACTGGCAAACCTGTGTCCCGACAGCGGTCTGTGTTCTCTTTGGGAATATGAGGTTGGGGATGGAATGGGGGGTTTTGGTTGG